AAACTAAAACTTCGGTTTAAAAATGTCTTTTTAGACTTTGTACATGTAATGTATAAAGATATTTAAGTCGATTTAAAAGCTCACGTAGGACATCTCGTGAATTATAAATTCAGTTAGTCATAAATAGATGAAAGCCATAAACTAAGTCACTGGAATTATTATCATGTTACATTATTTTGTGGAAAATTTTTTTTTAGAAAAAATATCCTAACCGAAATCGATGAAAACCACAAATCACTTTAACTGATGTTGTTTTTGATTCACTTAAATGATTGACATTTGTTCATAAGTTGGAACTGCACTTCATAAAAATATACTTAATTCACAAATAAGCGAACAAACCATCAAATTTATTCCACGGAGGTTTTTAAAAAATATTCCACGTGATTTTCTGATTATTTTTCAATTTCAACTCTTTATTGTTTTTTTCAGAATTCGATGGATGTTCCAAAAAATCATTTGGTATTTATTTATCTTAATTTGATATTATTGTTATTTCGATTTGATATTAATAAATTATTTCGAGCCAAGTTTCTCAAAACTTAAATTTCGTTTTACTACTTTGAAATTTTAATTTACTAAATAATATATTTTTTTCCGTTTTATTTCAAATTATTGATCGAATGAATCGATAAGAATCGGGTTAACGCTTGTGATTGATTTCAAACATACGCACATAAGCGCAAGACAGTAAAGATAATCTGTTACGAAACCCTTTGAAACCCATTGTAGCGTTAAAAATTGTTGTTTGACCCAAAGCTGTGTTAACTTTATTTTATCGAAGAGGCGTAGTGATGGTAATAAAGAAAAATAGTTTGGATCGAATCAATAATTATCTATTTTTTACAACTAGGGTTGGAAAGATATAATGCATTAACTGCAGCCGAACTCCGCCGTCTTTAAGTGTTTATGTCTATAAATATGTGGGTGGGCGGGAAAACATCAGACAAATTATACTACTTGGTTATGTGTCGAGAAAAATTACATGCCCGTTTGGTAAACACCTAAGTCACCGGCGTTTTTTGTGTCCTAAACGAGTCGGCCTCGTGGTCATTTACACCTATGTGTGTAACGATGGCGCTCGGACAATAATCACTGTATTTGTCATGGTAAATGGATACCGCATTTCTGTACGGGACAAGCGAATTGGGTAGTTTAATCATTTTTTTACTTTCCTAGTAAAATCATGGACCGCACAAATTATCAAGACAAAGCGTCACCATTATTAGCATACCAGTCCTTAAATCGCTGAGCAACATCTCGAAGAGTCTCGTTCGCATTTATAATGAAACGTACAAATAAAAAATATATAAAAATAAATACATATAAAATAAGAAAAAAATAAACAACTAACAACATGGGAGATTTCATGGATGTTAAGGTCATCGTATTATACCGCAGTTTAATTAAAAATCGATGAATATTTATTTATTTCTACAGAATAAACAGATAATTAACATAATATTAACGTCGCCGTACTGATATTCACGGTGATAATTATGACCCGAGTTAGATACCCTGTATCTTTAAAAGGACCCTCTTCAGCGGAACACAGTCGATAGGCTCTTTGTTAAGTCCATGAGAAACGAATTTCTTTGACGCTGTCATATATTTTTTTAATCTGTTCAACCCTAATTTTATCGACAACACCCCAATCCGTGACAGGATTACGGGATAGTGTAGAAATACAAAAGCAATAAAAAATATCAAACCCATAATTATCATTATTTTCGGTTTCTCGGAAAACCTACAATGTAAATATACTCTATGGCTACCTGTGCGAGACGACCACAACAACAAACTATACACAGTTATACGTTATTATTTTATATAATTGTAATTAATCGGCGTGACACGGAAAATATTATTATAACATGTATAAAATATATCCCAGAAATAATTAATTCTGTGGTATCGACAACGACTCGTCACGTCATATGATTTGCCCTCATTTGTTGTATTATTTTTTTAAATCATTTTTCTGAACTGATCAGCCCAAATCCCGACCGTGTAATACGAATTTTCACGTCAAATCCATCATCGTCATTATACTGGGCTACTGCAGTCAAAATCGGATGTGGAATAATAAATTACCGAAATTGTAAGCAAGCACACGCGCACTACAGCAATACTACACTATACTCGAAGTATTTAAAAATACCGAAGCCTGAAAACAGTTCAAACTATGATATATGGGCGCACTTTGCTCACAAGTTCACACCCAGACATTTTTTAAGCCCCACATAATATCAAACTTGAAATAAACGTATGATTTTCTCAAACATCCCGTTTTATTTCAACCTGTCAGCAACGGTAGCAGGAACGCCTTTCAACCGCTCATGACAACGAGCTGACGATTTATGGCACTGCCAGAGTCAAACTCGATTTTAACTAGTTTTCTTAGCAAACTGCAACCAAAAAACGGAATCTATGGTATTTTATAATTCTGGTGATTATAGTGTTACAACTTTTCATACTGACACTGTCCCCTCCCCTAAGACTAGATATTGTTTTCCGCTATAGTAACAATGGATAATGCCGGTCTAATCATTAATTACTGGAGTGATTAGACTTTACCGCAGAGAGAAGTAGCTCATCAAACCATACGGAAATACACCCTGTACAGAATCTTATAATTCGTTTTTTAACGCAATTGTAACTGTTGTTACTTTTTGAGCTAATAAAATGTTTTGATTGAAAAATGATTACATTTATAAATGTTCGCCAGTGTTATAATTTATAGAAAAATAAAACGTCTTCCGTTATAAACAATATGTGTTCTCGAGTACTGTTAATCAACTTAGTCTTCGTTCAAAAGTTGGCTTTTTTTTTTTTCATAAAAAAATAATAATATAGTACCGAGTTCGAGAAAAGTTTATGTATTTGCTCTGATCGCATAATATATTATATAAGTGTAATCATATACATGTGTGTATTCATTTAATGTATAATCTAATCGAATAAAAATATAATAATATATTATGCAACGTTAAGAGCACATCGCCGTTATTAGTTTACAACATATTCCAGAGATGGACGACGGCGTGTATTTACTAACTTTTTTATTACACAACAGCATCCATTTGGGCAGACCTATTCGAAACGCATAAAGAATTTATCCAGAAAACCATTTCATAATTTTATCTATCCAGTAAGCGCATAAAGTACACCCTTCTTTTTTTTTAACTGGAGAGCGCGAACGACTACAGTCGAATGAATATCGGATTAAAAACGAAAATATAAAATTGATGTTCAAAAAACTTCTAGTTTATACTGTTTAAACGTATGACGGATATTTGGGCCAGACCGATGATTTATTGAATAAAAAACGCGAAATTACATTATGCTCAGCTATTTGCCGGGTCCAATATTATTATTATTATAATATAATACAAGACGTTTGAAGAGAGAAAAAATTTATGCTTATTTCTTCCCATGTAAATGTTGATAACGACGCGCGAACGTAAATCACATTGAAATACGACGTTTTGTCTTGTCTCTTTCCACAGTTTTTCCCCTGAACGGCGCCTGACTTTTTTGGCAGACAACAGTAACATCGGTAGTTTTACCTATACAACGATCATTATTCCTCCCGGCCCCCACCTCCATTGCAAACGTCGGTCCTGCAACACCGGCCTAACCAGTTTCACGTGCGAGGACCATCGACAATCTTTTATAACATACTTTTACACTGCGGCTGCTGCAGCAAAACGGGTTATCGTCGGATTATATAGAAACGGAATAAAAAATTCCTATCACATCTGGACCGTCGCGTGTGCGAGTTATAAATATCGTGTACAATAATACACACAAACCATAAGGTGGTGCGTAAGTGTAATAATCGGTCAACGCGCTTCTTTACATTTACCAACACTGGTTCGACTTTATCTAGGCAATAATAAAACACCAGAAACTCACGATGGAAGGTTTGTTGACAATTTTATGGCCTTCGTCTATTGTCGGCCGGGCAGCTAATAAATGAAAAATAAAAAGAAGTGACGACGGCCCATAAGTGCTAATCACTCTTTATTTTAATGATCGATTAATGATGAATCGATTAAAAAGCCTGTGTACTAGAGGATCTATGACGATAAAATAAAATTCTAACGCGATTCGTCCAGTCATATGCCCAATAACCCGTCAGTCTCCATGCGCACAAATTGTACAAAGTGTTATTGAGCAATTTTCATTTCTATGATTGAAAAAGAAACTATTAAATTAACTTCAAGCGCGCACAGTAAAAGGAGAATTATTGTCATTCTGTGATACTAGACGTGCAATCAACAAACTCCATCGTCAATGTCGAGTCGGGGCATTCGAATTGTTAATAAGCATAACATTCAAGGGATTAACTAAAACACGATTTAGACCCGTAGAAAACGTAGACAACTTTATTTTGGTTTTCAATTATATATTTTTAATAGTTTTTACACGTAAACTGACACTATGTTCGGGTAATGCATTGACAGATCCTCTAATTAAAAAACCATGTTTTCGTTATCACACTACTGTGTACTACGACCGGCACTAATTTAATAACAAGAACAGATTTAGCTACGAACGTCATTGTATCCTATTGCGGTGGATCCATCTCATTAAATGTGTTCACTTAATTTGAAAATTAAACTATACACGAGACGCAGGTATAATGCGCTCTCGCAGTAAGTAATAATGACATCCGACGTCGAAAACATTTTATTATTTTACATATTATATTTTTTACCCGAATCTTTAACGACTTTATTATTCGGTTTCACGCGTAACCCACGAGTCAAAGCAGCAGACACATACATCGTATAAATATAACTCGAATAAAGAAAACACATGGGGCACGCCACAACGCGACCTACTCAACAATAAATCGTCCAAATGCTAATATCTGTAGTGTAACTTAATGCAGACGTCAAGACAATTATTACCGAATAGGCGTGTTGTGTAAATAACAATCAAGCGCCCATTTTTTACGCTCCGTAGTTACGAAAAAAAGTTCAACGACTTACCTCTGCTGGGGGTTTGCCACCATCGGACACGCATTCCAGATCTATCGGTTTGCCTTCCGTGAGGATGAGGAAGTCGCCCTGAAGGATTCGTGGCCGATCTGGCGGAACCAGCACAGTAATCGTGGCTTTCTTGGACCTGATGGCAGGTTCATCGTGTTTGCCTACGCCGACCTGACACTGGTACACACCGTCATCGTCCAACGTCACCGGGTTCATCTCTAAATTGTATTCACCTGTGTACACACAAATAAATTACTCGATTGCGCTATAAATAAAAAAACATAGTTGAATGACTGACAAGGGCAGTGCAGCTCGGGCGAATTGAAAATTCATTGAAATAATCGTAGCCGAGGCGAGAAATCTAGGACCCAAAGAATTAGTGTTGTCCAATTATTTTTTTTTTTTTTTTTTACGAAAAAGCAACGCAGTTTCATTAAAAAACGCGCAATAGTCCAGCATATCATTAAGTATGTATATGTTATATGTACTCCGGGTCGTCCCGAATTATTAGCATTAAAAGATAACTCTGATGAATAAAATCTTCGTCCAGAAGATAATTAGGATGATTAAGATGACACTGCGGTCAGCAGACACGGTTGTCGACGGCTGATGAACAAAATTTAAGGCTACTCTTAAGAATACACGCCATTGGAAAGATTTGTTGTGCGTACAGTCCGTAAGTGTATTATGTAGATTGTTAATTAGTGCGTTTTCATGGAGTACACTGCGGCTGTGGCGTCGGTGACCGGAAAAATCGAACCGGTTAGTGATGCCGAAGGTGGGTGATTGTAGTAGTAGTGGCCGCGGTAGCCGGTCGACTAGTGGCCGGAGGGGAGCCTCGGTGGTTAGCTAACAGAACACCTGCCACGCGCTTCTTCGGTGTCGTCCGCCTGGGTACGGGGTAGAATGGTCGGGCAGAGAACGAGATCTATGACGAGGGAAGACACAACAAACTGGATTTATTACCGTCGTGTAATAATAATAATAATAACGATGACGGGTTGGCTGCAAGGAGTACCGTAAACGAGTTTACGAGAGGATTTTTTTTCACTTATTATTCAACTGTAGAAATTAGAGCGCGATGCTGTTCCAGGAGCGCAGCAATAAATATCATAATTGATCTTTGGAATTTCTACACGAGCGATCATCACTAAGCCCGTACTGCATTTAGTCAAAGCAGTTTAGTGTACACGTTATGGTGAAGAAACGAGGGAAACCCCACCCACCACATCAAAGAGTTGGCTGCGTAAATAATTTACACGAAGAAATCTGGTGGCGATGTATTAAAAAGTACTGAAAAGTAAATAACACACGCGAAATGGACTAATGTGTAAACGTTGTCGATTGTTCGCAAAAACAATTTTATTACTTTGTATACTTTCAGTGTTTGCGCGTAAATATTTAAGGGTTTGTTATGTACATAGATTTATTTTGAGTTGTGATTTGTTTGAAAAGATAATCCACGAGCCACAGGGTCCGACAAACAAACAACTAGTGGTGTTTCGTGAAATTGCAAATTAGCTATTGGTACGACCCGTGTGTGAAACCGAAACTGAAAACTTTCAAAAGCAAAAAGAGGTTCAGTTGTTGAATACCCAACAGTGTAAACGAGATAAAATAAACCTCTGGTTCGTGGAATATCTCCACAGCTCGAAAATTAAGAAAAACTTAGTTGAGTTGATGTTCTTTAGACAATATTTATTTGATCAAATTTAATAACCAAAATATTATAGTGTCATCCATATTTATTGATGTACACTAATGATACAACTTATCTCGGTTTTAAACTTTTTAACCAAACTCCGACTAATTAGTCTCACTATACATTAAAATATAGCGCAGGTTTTTATTTGTCTGATCCGTATCAATTTTTTTATTACTATATTCTTGTTTAATCCCGTTAAACGCGAATAAATTACAACATTACATTCTTTGAACATAAATAACTACCATCACACGCAATGACCACTTCCCCGGACGTCCTGGGAAACACCAAACATTGCAAATTTACGAGCTGTGGCTCGTCATAATTAAACGAAGATTTCGGTAGCTATTATGATGTATTGCGGAGTTGGGCGCATTAAGAAATTAAAATAAAAATCCCTAAAGAGTTGTTATGAAATATTCTACAGCTGAATGTTCAATAAAAGAAGGTTTGATTGTGTCTTTTTTTTTTTTTAGTTCTTTTTAGTTGAAAAATTAAAAATCGTTACATGCAAACAGGTCGATACCCTGACGGTATAAAACAGATTAACGACAGCGGCAAGCATTTCGATTTTTTTTTTTCTTCAAACTTATTCAATACAGTTAATTAAATAACTCAATTGAGATCTGTTAAGAAGAGATTGGATTGCAGTTTTATTGATTTGTACAATCTTGTCGCGCGAATAATAAATATACACGAGTACGTTTACTTGTTGACTAATTAAGATATACATAACAAGAAACGGAATCCCTTTGAGATAATAAGCGACTTTTATAAACGCCTTTACTTGACGAGTTAACATGTTAATGAACTAACACAACCCCTCGTTATTTCTACATAATAATAATATGCATACTGATAGATTATACACAAAATTATACCGAACCCGACGAATCAAAGCGTCCAATAAACGGGCACGTTAGTTTTATCGTAGTCAGAGCAATGGAACGTTATAAAAATTTGAAGTCAGTGCAGCAAAGAAATTAACGAGTTTATAGATAACCGAGTCATCAAGAACGAGTTCAAAATATTATATTTCACCTAAACACTCGAATGGGTTTGAGAAATTCAATTTTGAAGCCAAGTGTGATTATTAATTCGGATAAAATAACAAGTGCGGTTATTCGGATAATCAGAGAAGGTCCAATAAAACGTTTTTTTCTTTTAATATTTATAAAAACTAGTATAGTTATATTCAACGCACAAAGACTGGTGCACCAACAACACGGCAAACGTTTACGTGGAATACAAACTGGATGTACTACACACTAACACAGCAAAACCAGATTGACTCGTTGGAATATTGTTATTGGTGTTTATGTGTATGCATACAGACCGGGTAAGTATTAAACCCCTGAAAGACTCGAGTGAAGACGTCAGACAAACGCACTTGAGACGTTTAAAATGAAATAAAAAATCAATTGGTTCTGTGATCAAAAGACGACCACCACTACGACCGGAATCCTTACACTGTAACACACCAACAATGTGTACGAATACAAACCGTAATTATCATTATCATCAACGATAATAAAAAATTATTCACGGTTATATAGCCGTTCAAATTCTATACATGTCCCATGTATGATTATTATTAACATTAAAAATTATATATATATATATATATATATATATATATATAGATATATATTAGTAGCATAACAACTGCAGCCACCCCGGTGCGTTATTTATTTATCACAATAATTTTCCCATGCTTTGAGATGAATACCCGTGTCCAGTATGAGTCGACTGCGACAAACGTACACGGATCTACTTACACGCAATGCCGTCATATTGTGCACAGATTGGATATTTTTATTTTACGGTACAACAACACTCCACTGACGATGTAATGTCGTGCATTCAATAAGTCACGGAGGAAGTGAAAAACCTCGTGAAAACTCTGATTTATGAAACTATACGATGCAATTAGCTTGACAGCAACTTCTGATGCAAATACAACACACCGACGATTGTTTGCTAAACACGGACGTGTGAAAAACGAATACACACTTAATTTAATATTCAAATGTACGCGGTTTTAACTTTAAACAATAAACCAATATAACAGTACCCGTACGAGAAAAGTTCCGAGTTTTTAGTTGCTTGCGCGGGAGGCGTGTTCGAATACAAATGTTTGCCATCTACTCTCAGTCACTCAAAAAGTCGATAAAAACAATAAGCCAATTCATAATTACCAATTACCACTACACTGTTTTTACCCGGCAAAATAAACGAACGAGTGCAGTGTACCTCGCGAGCAAATCCTTAGAAGAGACAAAGTTCAGTGCAGCTGTCATAGCAGCAGTTCCCAAGTTCCGGGACGACTGCGGGGCAATAACAATAAAACTCATCATTATTATACAAGTCATAATAATACATAACTCGCCGTTATGTCAGTCGACAAGCGTATACTGGATGAAGTAATGCGACAGCTTCTAGGAAAACTCATAATAATAATAATAATACCGTTATTTATTATAAAGTAGCGCGAGTAGCGAAATTTTCTTAATGTCGTTGCATAATATTCGATGTCCTGCCGCGGAAAAAGCGATACTTTCCTCCCCTCCCCCCTAATAAATGTCCCCGGAAAATGTTTGATTTATAACGCGGTCTATGAATGCCAATCGAACGGTTTCGGATCGTCGTGGGCTTTTTTGAGGTCAGCCACAGGCGATGGGTACGATTCACCCGCGGCGTTAAGGGTCTGTTTTTGTGAAAACTACCTTATATAAATATATAAAATGTACATAATGAATATACTAGAACAAACACAGTAGCATATATACATGTGCGCACCGGAGGAAACGTACATAATATTATGTATATTAAACGTTAGCAGCACATATATAGATTGACTGCGAGCATATAAATCTACAATTCAGATTTGATTATACGCAGCAAGAACGCTCGGGCCGTCTGAAAATAAACAAGTAAACGAGGTTCGTTTTTATTAGGATCTCGAGGATTATTAAGACCTTATCTGTTCGATATGCGAATAGCCCAGAGGAGTTCCTATATACTCAACGTTTTCAATGTACAAGAGTAATAGTTTTGTTTGCTTAAACATTAACCTCGTTAAAACTATGTGTTGTAAAAAAATTTCAAGGCAATTGCTTTAAATCTTGTAAATACTAAAATATTCGTAGTTCGTCAACGAATGAAAGTAGCTAAGATTAAGATACGAGATGGTTAATGGAAAAAGTATCCTCTCGACTTTAACGACCACATAATTGAACGGCAATCCAATTTTTTTTTGTAAATTTATGGCCAATATAACTATAGTAAAGTGTTTTTTTTTTCTATTAGCAAACGGATTTCAGTCACCTATTCAAACCACGATCGTAGAAGAAACTACAAGAACCATCTTAACTGCGATTAAAATATCAGCACTTGTAAATGAGTATAAATATATTTGGTTACTGACGAAGAAAGCTTACCTCGTTCGTCGGTACCCGTCATAGAGTATCTCGGGTAACCGTGGTATGACAATTTGCGGTTGGTACCCAAGGCAAAGTCGTCCTTGGTCCATTGGAGTTGTCCAGCGAGATTGTTGACCCTACACGGTAGCGTGATGGCTCCGTTAACAGCAACACTTCGGTCGTCCGGTTCGGTGGCAAACGACTGCTCCGGCCATGGGTCGTCAGATGAAACGCCTCTGATAAAAGCGGTTATTGTTATTATTAATATTAATGTTATCTTTAATCGTTTCATCGTCGCTCGATCATCTGTAACAAAATGTGACAAAATCATTAGTGGCGACCAAACACAATAATACACGCGATGACTATAATGAAGCTCCGCACACGCCAGATAAGTATCGCGCGTTTCTGACCAATTGGAATCCGCTTTACATTTAAAAACCTCCAATGACGCCCTAAAGACGACAAAAGCATCTACCGTTTCGTTTTTCGTTTAACGCGACGGTCATCGCAATAGTAAATTGTCACCAACTCGAAAAGTGTTGAAAGAAGCCCAACCCGTGGGCTTTTTCTCATTATCGATACATATTAAAATAAATTCGGTGAAGTGAACGACTAGATCTTAAACATACTGTCATAACTGGAGTAATGATGACTATTATTATTATTATAACAAGGTGTAGGTGAACAGTTGACGATCGGACACATCAACGGATTTACCAGGTCGCGGTCGACACTTCAACACCCGTTTACTCCGATTGTTGTAAGGTTTCTACTTTTCGTTTGCGGTCGAAAAACAAATTATCCTATATGCGGTTTAACACGGCGATTGTGGTGTAAAACAAACGAATTTTCAAAAGGGTAGACCTGTATTAAATGTAATGCATGCGTGCTTGAGTACGAGTGTGTACACACATGTGTGGTTATTTCATGACCAGAGTAAATCAATTTTCATTGGGACGTATGGATGCGAACTAAACCAGCCGCCCTTAACATATAATTTTCGGTGTATAATTTTCGAATTTCCAATACCGATAACGATCCAGTTCCACACACGCCAATAGTATACAAAAACATTTTTTAGTCGCGATAACGACAGAGGCCATGCTGCTAGTGTAACGCCGACTCGCTAGAGGACTTGAAACGCCTCTAGAACACGCCAAACAGTTCATCACTTGTACGTTCCATATCGTGTATCCTAACAGCCTATAAATCACAACAAACATACAATAAGTGCCAATCGAAAACATCTCGGAGTGCGACTTGACGATAAACAGACGCTGGTCGTTGGTGATGAGTATAATACACTTGACAAGCTTTGGAGTTTTACAATATGATTATTTATTACTGTTGGGATTTTTCTTGCGCTAACAACATCGTCCTCTAGTACAACGCTTTCGGATCACTGCTAATGTTAATTAAAATTAGCATTAATTTACCCGTTTCGTTTAGAGACGCCAACGAAAAATATTAAAAAGAAAACATAAGACGAATACAAACATTATATTATAAGAGTATTTTGCATAAAAGACTACTAGACAGAGTGGCCGTAAAAGATAATTGAACGAATTATATCCAAGAAGAATACGATAAAAATTTATAAATATATAAAACTATAAAACGAGGTTATTCTGTTTAAAAAGCACGGAACGAGTGAAAAAAAAGTTAAAGGCGAAAAAATACTATTTTCCTCTGATGTTTGTGTTAAAGGAATTAACCTCTATAAGCGAAACGTGATACCATTACTATGGTATATGAGAAGTAGTTACTTCAAATATTATTTTGACCGAAACGACTTCGTTAAAGTAACGGACTCTACGGAATAATTTCTTTATTTTTATGTCTGTTCAAATCATTATTGTTATTTACATTGAAGACGTCTTTTATTTTTTTAACCCCGTCAAACTCGTTTCATATCTATTGGAAGACGACACACAATAATCGTATAAAGTACCTTAATTTCGATGTCGCGAGATCAAATAAAAGGTTTTAACTGAACGCTAAACTTTATTCGACTAAATAAAACAACGTGCGCATAATTTTATAATTTACTTCTGCAGTTTTTCCATCGACACGGCCGCCGCACAAGAAAACATATGTGCTGATTCCCTAAAATTCCAATTCAAAACGACCCGCCGAGAATGATATAATGCCCTCACGATTGCAAATACCACACACAACGATCGACTGTCTAAATCAATTAATTTTTATCATTAATATTTAATGGAACGCGTATAGAACAGTGGACACAAATGACTAGCGCGATACGCATCTAGAAGGTATTGTGGATGCGTTCGTTGAAGAAAGAAATGTGAAAATAAAAAATACAGAACCGCAACTAGATCATCAGCGTTAATACAGCATAAAATTAATATATGCGCCGAATCAAACGAAAAAATAAAAGAATACATCAAAAGTAGTAGTAACGATAAAGTAGAACGTAGCGAAGGGCATATCGTATCGCGTTCCGAAACCAACGAATTCTTATTTCTTTTTCTTCGCACCACTACTGACACTAATACGTTATAAAGTTTCCAAATTGGCTTATCCGCAAATATACACACAACAACCGGCACGGCTTATGTAACGAAACGACGGACCCATACGGCGGCGGTCCACGTACACAATATTGTAAACTTTTAGACACTATTAAGTGATATTGTATTGAAACCGCGATACTTGACAATTGAATTTTACACTTGTTTAGAGATCGACATTAAAAAAATATACTTTTACACGTCGCTTGTTGAAGTACGAACATTTGGATTCGAGTGCATTAGAACAATTTGAAACGTATCGGCGGCGTCATTTATTTTCACATTAAAAAAACACTTTTGACAAATGTAACAAAACGTAATATTTTCACTGATTCCAACGCATAAATCGACGGGTGATTGACTTCCGTTGACAAAACACACTTATCTTTTATTCAATTGAACGCGCACAGCGCCTTGTACAATCGATAGTGAAAAGAAACAAAGGTTAATGATTATTTTTATAATTTTTACTGTTACTTGGCCATTGATGTTAGCCGCAATTCATTACGTTGCCATTGCACGGGTCAAAGGTGCCAGAAAATTAAATACTATTTTGCAGCCTACTTATTTTGTTATTTCACAATTTTTATGGAAAATAAAAACTAAATTAATAATTATATTTAAAGGCGTCGATTCTTTTAAAAACTCGAGTATTTATTTTAAATTAATGTCGACAATGAAATAACTCGTAAACAGACTGCTAGTTTTATTTATACTCCTTTGGCCGCCGGGTGCATTATTAATATATATATACATTTTTAAGAAAATTAGATTTTTTATAGCGCTGAAGAAAAACAAGCAAAAATTAACCAACTCGGGGTAACTTGGAGGGGGTGAAATCATTTCGCAGAACCACCACAATGGCAACGGTCGAACCACCACTTGGAGACCCAAAAACCGACGAAACTATTGCGCACATCTTCGGGCCGAGCAAAAGATTCGTATGTACAGCGACAGGTGCGTCCGGAACAGCTTTGTATCAATTACCGACGCTAACGATCCGTTAACATACCTATTTCGTTACCGACTCTTATCTGCACCGACTGTATAGTGCCCATAATAAACACGTTTTTTTATTTAATGTTAGCAGAGCACGAAGCTGAACCGTCTCCCGCGACGACGACGACGGTTTACGGGCATCCCTAATTTCCAGTCCAGCGCAGACATGAACTACTACCACCACGCGACCGACCTTCAAAATAATCCTTTTTCCCCATTAAGCTTACTGATAATTACCGTTGGGCGGCGGCCACCTTAGGATTACTATGGAAAACGAAATAACAATAGTAATTATGTGCCCGGTCCGTTACACGAGTTTGCTTTTCAGTCATAACAATTTCGAAGGAAACTAATAAAATAATTTCCAAAGAAACAATTGCACTGGCCCGAATTTTTAACTACGCTAAGAATCCGACACGTTTACGATTATTAAAATGGATATTAAAATGAGATAGCCCTCATTTTAATTCAAACGAACGTGTGATTTTATGATTTAAATATGCGATTTCCTTTTTTGACACCGTACGAATTTCAACTCGCAAAGTATACGTTTTTCAAGACATTATCTCTACACGGCAAATCAACATGTTTTACATGAAAAATACTGTTTAGCGTCCGTCAAAGTTCTAAGCGCACAGAGACTCAAAGAAAACTCGTTGAAATTAATGGTTGTTTCGCACAGACCACCCAGTAAAATGGTAAAAAACGCGAATTTCCAGAAAAAAAAGAGAATAGCTACTTGATCGTATAATTACACACGCGAACACTGGTCGTATGTAATGACTTATGTAAGTACCGTGTTACTAAGTAATAGCTGTTAATGCCATGCACTACGATGTGCTGGAGGAGAACAAATCTATAAACACTGGTCTGGATGTGACGAGGGGATCAGTAGTAGTTACCCCACTTCAGCTTTCAGGTACCTACTGCGTGTAATAATTAGTGTTCATTGTACTTTTGAACGTCAAAAAGCGGTGCCCGAGGGTACCCCGACGAGCTCGTTGGGACGACCGAATTAAAACGTACCGTTTAAGCCCGTGGTATACGACCGTGGGTCCAGCAGTAAATTACAGGCTTACACACACTGGACTGGCGGGTTCTTAGTTTGCCCGTGAATTCCAGAAGGACGAAATAAAGCCGAAAAAGTAAAAAAAAAAAACAACTCTAACAACAATCGTGATCCGTATCGAATGACTACTAACGCACTTAATCACTTACACACCGGCCGTTGTCGCGCCGATTCCGAGGTAGGCGCGTATAACCCTCTGATATATTGCGATGGTATTTATTTGAATAAACGCATCGGGCGCGTAATGAGTTTAAGTTTCGATGAGTATAATTTCTCATGCTCTGCACATCGAATTAACTCCAGAACTTTACAGGTGCGTCCGCCGCAACTGCCATAAATCCTATGGCCGGCGCGCACAACACACACACACGCGACCATCGGACGCGTAGGAGCAGCCGTCGACGGTTCAACAAAAAGTAATTTTCCCATCCCTGTGAAACGACCGAGTTGCTTGCAACGTTTGATCTCCCGGAATGGGTTACACCGACAAAACACCGTGTAAAAGCATTTCGAACTGATTGGATCGACCGACAGAACGACCGTCGGAAAAGTACGCGATGTCGAACGCTTGTGGGAAATACGTGCGTGTCTAATTCCGACTCTGTTCCTCTTCGACTTTATCCTATTGACGGCCGGTCGGTTGTGCGCCACGGACATTATGTATGCGTTTTCGAAAAAGCAACGCCAATGCTTTAAAAAAATCTCCGGGCAGATTTCTAAACGGAAACGACCGTTATCGCTCGCAGAACACGCCGTTGACAACCAATCCCATCTGCAATTGGAATATTTCTATTGTTGTCATTACCATACACTGTTCCACAGCGAGTAATAACGATTTATTAAGCGGAATAATAATAAACGCCTAGTCCAAACGGAGAATACGAAATTTACTAGCGCGTACGTCTCGTCCTACAATACATAATGTCGTGTGTATTGTGTTTATATAAATACCAACTCGAGTAACAAACATTTGTGTGTTTATCGATATCACACCTTGCCCGAAATGTCGAGAAATTCCTACGCGTCAAAGATCTCGCATTGTCCTCCTCACTATTTATTAGGCTACTTATTTTTAATGTTAATTTCCTATTATTTATTTTTATTATACTCGACATTTCGACGACCCGACATACATAGACAACAAGTGTGTTTTTGTAATTCACCGAGTGACACACACGCAGTTACGAGATGCTAACGAAAATTCATATGTTCTCCTCCAACAGATCGAAGATATTGGCGTCGGTAACGCCGTCTGTCACTTTCGTCTTAATAAAGTCCTATCTGAACTCCAAATATCCGATTACGTCGATGTAAAAAATTAGTGTTCCATTCGAAAACATACCGACGCCAAACAGTATATATTTAAAAAAAAAAACGATTGTCTGGTCATTATAAATGTAAACTTAGTCGTTCTTACCGTGTCAATCAAACGAATATATTTATAGCCAACTTTTGAACGGACCTGAGCATTCTGTATTCGTGTGCAACGACGAGCAAAAGTCTAGCCAAACCAACACCAGAATCGATACTAACATGAAAACTGGTTTTATGGATTACACTTAGGACTTAAAAACGTGTCACCAATAGGCGCCGAAAACGTTGATTTGACGTTACAATGTCTCTTCGGCTTTATTAATGCGCAATTTCAACAAAATTTTCGGACGGGTTTATCGTATCTAGCTTGCCCCGTCTCTAAATTGCTTTTTTATATAATGACTAATGTAGGTTTTTTAAAATTTTAAACGGGATAAGTCCCCAATTCGCGCCTAGTTAATGCCCTAATATAAATTCAACGAGCTTAGTAATGCCTATTGCTATGTGAAGAACACATTGTCTCTAGAGGAGAAACACGACAAAGAACCGAGTACAGCAAACAAATATCTGAAGGGACCCATTAGTAACAAAAGAGTAACGGCTGAATGGACTTAGTGGAGCTAGAAATAGACTTGATTTGATTTAACATCTAAACATTATATTTACCATGCACAAAACATACTCAACAGTAGGGTCAAACTAGCGTATGGAAACAAGTAGCAACTCCAGTAAGTAATAAGTTTTCCCCCGGGGAAACGACATCCGTCTTTAAAGAATTTCACGCTGTTTGCAAAACGTATACAAGTCACGTATGCTTTAAAATTTGTTTACAAATATTTTAGATAATAATTATCATTTGAAAAAAAAAAAACTAATACTGGTAAACTGATTTGGTATTCAACTGTTTTAGGAGTAACGAGTTCGCCGAACTCATTTCGTTTTTTAACGAATTTTCATTAAAGTTCCTTTTTTTGTCTAGATGCTTGGCTTCGATCGCTATTGTCGCGGAATTTCTAGTTATTTTTTTTTTCCTTATTTTTTACACGACTTCAAACGCGTTATACGTATAAGCTTCTATTATACTCAAACGTACAACTTGTTCATCTTTTTTTTTTTGGAGGAAACGGCGAGAAAAGAACCGAAGGGCTTCTTTGAGTAAACATTGACGCAGTTCTTACACGTGCTCGCTGCCATTACAAGACTGACATAATACTTATTTTTTCGATTATCAAACGGGTGACGCAATAATCGACAAAAAGAAATCTGCAAACACACAAGGCGGCAGTATACGCGCTATTGGAGAGCCTTTTAATGCTCTTCTTTCAAAGCCTACACGCGGTTTTCACAGTGCATAAAACAGTTTCCCACACATTCCATTTTCTCGTTAAAAATTGCACGAAAAAATATAAATAAATAAACCTTGTCGTACCGTTAATCCTCACGGGACACGTATCAAAGCGCTTTGTATGTGTTCTTAACGTTTTCTGATAAAAAAAGGCGTCGTCTGCGTTTACCCGGAGTTCAAAGACAATATAAGTCAAACAACAACCGCATGATATCGAACAAAATTATATTAGAATTTATTATCAAGTTACTTATTAAATAAACTCCGATAAAAGCTCAGTAAAAGTTTCTCGACAATTTTTTTTCACTAATACGCACTGATGTTCGATTTAAGTCTTCGCCGTTAAATTCACATTAATACTTTTAGTTTTTGTTGGTTTATGTATATATTTTTTAAACATTTATTTTTTGCTACACCGTGTTACGTTCCTTTTTTTCTTTGTGATTACTTTTTCTTCTGTTTTTTAATTACAAGTGTGGTGACCGAAGGATTTGCGTTTCAATGCGATAAGAAAGCAAAAGAAAAAAGGGGTTATCCTTTGAGAGAAATTAAAGATAAAAAAATAACTGACAAACAATAGAATTACACAGAGTTATTTTCTTAGCATCTCCTCTAAATATGTCCCCTGCTAAACAAACGCGAATTCAGTTCAATCCGAACACTATTAAAAATTACAAACTTTCAAGTCGATGTTTAAGAATTCAGTTGGGTTTATTACGATTATTGTAACAAACATAAATAAGAATTTAAATATATATACACTATCTGAATTATGCAATAGAGTCAACAAATTATTAAATTAATATTTCTTCGCGGACCAGTACAATACGGTTAGATTTCCACTGCAAACAAACTGATTAAAAAGCAAAAGTTACTTTATAAACTTTTAATTACTTTATTAAAGACGTTCAATACGCAAACGAAACCATCGGTTTCCACAATTTCTATGCGATCACGCTTAAACGTTTCCACGAGAGATAATAGACCTGAAACTTATGGACAGAGGAGTGCAAACATTGTCATTGCAGTGGATATCACCGACCGTATTGTGGATGTTTTTCGCGCGAATAATATATTAAAATAATAATATCGCCATTGCGATGCAGTTAATGCGGAGACAACACTCCAGAGAATATTGTCGTCGACGACATCATAACACAGTCACTTACCCGTTGTTTGTTGACGGCAATCCTTTGAATTCCATATGTGTACAACAACCCTCCGAGAACAAAATAAACACTTGTAATGACCTACAGAACGCGTGCGGCTAAAGTAAATAATAATCTAATTAATCCGGTCGGTCGACATCCGTACCGGTGAAAAATTACTCGACGCACAATACCCGACCGCCGCACTATGTTTTTTAATTGATAATTTTTTTACGACAATTACACGATCGAGCACAACACGCGACCAACGACACACTGGCTGAGCAACGTATGGCCGCACGCCGACAACGGAGCAAAGGGACTGCATTCCAGAAGCCGGAGAAACCACGAGATACTACACACTCGAGGCGGCGACGGCGTTCTTAGTTGCCGGTGCTCCCGATAGGGCGGGCTGACACACGCCGGACGACCGACGGTACTGGTTTGGTATTTATTATTGTTATTATTATTATTATTATTTTATTCTTTGAGTAAACTAGTCGGAGGAGCCACGGTCAGATTCGTATAAAAAACACACACACACACACACGCGTTTATGCGCAGATCAAATATAATTTGCACCTGTTCGGACTCGTTATAATGCGGTGTCTGCTCTGCGTTACGATAATAAAACGTACAATTATGTAGTGCGTAGGAAGCTCACGCAACGACTTTTAGGTATTATACACAATGAACGATTTAAACACATAAATATGGAACGACAAGACGAGTCGAAAAGGAAAAAAAATTGTCTGGACACAAAAGTAAACACGACCATTGGTTTGCCAATATTTTTCTTATAATAGACTTACGGAATCGTGTACATATATTATCTTTATTGCGTAATTAAAGTCACTGTAGTAATTTCGAAAATAGTTAATCAACAAATTAACTCGGTCTCACGGCACTTAGCGTACGCTCAATTTCTTAATCCCGAGCCGCGTCATCCCTAAACATTACGGACACAATTACGTGATTCATTGGACACTTGAGCTTTGACGATAACAAAATCCAACAACGGTCATTGTGTCGTCGCAATGAAAATCTAAATAAAAAATGACATGGTGACATGCGATGTGTTGCCACGCCGTTGTGATTTCAATAGTGATACTGAACACATCTGACAAACGATCATCGATAAGTGTACACTCAAAATCACGGGGAAATATTCAAACGCGGTGTGTACATTTTAAATAATAAGAGGTTTTTTTTTTCGTTTTTCGAATAAAAATCGATTTAACGATATTTTTTAAACTATCCGCGTGTAGCGCAATCACTTAGATTTACATCACTGGCAAACGCGTTACAAACTAACTATATAAATAATTATTAACTATCACCAGATCGTATAAAAATTATGAAATATTCGTACAACAAACGTGGTTTGTTCACGAGTTCCGAACTGTGTGCTCGCCAATGGTCATGACGTTTCTGGCGAGTCTATTGCAGTACTTATAACGTCTAAGCCGCGTAAACAATTATTGAGCCTTAATTACAATTGCTATTAAATGTTTACCGATAAACGATTAGCAACTAATTGTGTTGCTGTACACAATGATCTCGTTTTCACGTCATAGACATTATTAAGTTAATGCCGTACGCGCACCCGTTTTAACAGGCCATTCGCTGTATTTACATTTCCTATGGAGTACATAAATTTTATTTTCACACAATAATATGTTTTTATAGATATCGACAAAAGTCGGTTTCTATCGTTATTCTATTCCAATATTATATCCACCGAATGAATGCTATTGAACTATTGTGGATAGCATAAAACTATAGCTCGTGTTTTCGATTGTATTTGGCAATTAAGCAGTTGAACTATCGATTAAAGAACATCTTATGCGTTATTTTCAGTAGCGGTGTGTGAGTAAAATTCACGAGGAGACTTAACATTTGTGATACAATTGATTACTTAAACTCAAGAGGATAATAAGGGTCGAATTCCTTCCCCACCACGAAAATAATTATGTGTTGTACATAAAATGTGGAAGTGATAAACACAATTTCCTCATGTATAATCTCTGTTCGTGTGGAAAATTTCCATCGTTATATTTTACATTCAGAAACGCATTTAGAGAAGACATAGGGGCGTATTCCCCTCCGTTGGCAATGCTTTGTTAATATACCAATGTGTTTTAATTTTCTTTTTGCTCTTAATCCGAGTAAAAATTTATAAACAATTTTTAATGGTAACTTTTTAGATGAAAATCTTTTCATGTGCGTCTCCTCCACCATTATGAGTTTTCAAATACGCTCTTCTAATGTTAAATGTGAAGTAGGCTTATTGTTTTTTAGTTGACAATGAAAAACAATGAGAATTGCTCACTAGTTATTTTTCCAACGAAAAATGCTTAAACAAAGATTCCATAATTTATAACACACCGCACTGAATTACAAATAAAAATTAAGACCGCCCGGCGCGGAGAGCAATTCCTTCAGCCCAGTAAGAACATCATAACCGCTGCACCTCCTCAGTACCCAATAATTGCCAATTTCATTCGATAGTTTCTTTTAACTATCGAGTATATTCGATAGTGCCCATCAGTAGTTATATCTCTTGGCCGTCCTCGGTCCATAATCGGCATTCGATATCATCATTATACTAAATTTAACTGAAAAAAACCCAAAAATGTCTAATATAACCGATATTTTGTTTATTGTTTACCTTCAATTGTTTGGGTTTATTTTTGTATGCCTTTGCAAAAAACGTCGTGTTTAATAGAATAATAAATACAGTTTATCTTAAAATTCAATAAATAAAAATCATTTAACTAATATTAAGATAAAAAAAAGGATGATATTAAAAAAAAAAACACTTTTTTTCAACAGTTTTCTTGGATAAATACAGATTTTGATCATATCGGACGATTAAAGTTTTTCATCAAGTACCGGACACGAAAATCCGTTTTATATTATTTAAAAAAGACGGGCTCCTATAAATGCATACGTAATATGACGGTGATCGCCTATTTGAAAGTTTAAATAAGATTCACCGTCGTTCATGAATAATATTAAAATATATTAACTTAGCATTTATCTAGATTCCACGAGGCTGTATTAAACTTTTACTGTGAAACGCGTATAAACCATAAGTATCATCTGAGATACGCCGAATACATGTACATAGTTACCTGCCACCAATCTGCAATGCATATTATAATAACGTTATCGTCCTTGCAGTGAGTAAAACCTAGTTTTTTTTTTTTTACATATAAACCCTAACGTAGTATTACCCCTCCCTCTCTCCTTTATGTTATCCAAAATTTTTGTTTTCTTTTTATAACTTTAGCCGGCTTCCGAAAGGAAAACACTTTCCAATAGTTTGTTACCATAAAATTACTCTCTGCTGAGCACTCCATATTGTTTTTCGAGTATCGCATGTACAGCACCACATTAATAAACTAGTACAATACACCGCCCCGACTGCACAAAAATTAATAATAATTACACGTAGGTACAATTAAATGTAAAATCTAACACAGTAATTCTGTTTCATGTCTGTGAAGTATTTTAAAAGCTCGGCGAACGGTTGTGTTTAATTAAGAAGTATTACACAATGAATGTTCTCACAAGGCGACGTTTTTCAAATGTTCATTAAAAGACGATCGGCTAAAAATAATACCCATTAATTTATAATTTTAAGTTTAAAACCTATAAACGGCTTCACAGTCTAGTGGCGAACTCGATTACTTTATTCAAACGGTATAAAGTTACAAGAACTATCAAAATTAAAACGAAATCGTTGTTACACTTTTTACAATCTATTCAGTTTATTTTTTATCACCTAACCGCAGAGTAGCCCCACGAAATGATAAACACGGGTTATTTTATTATTGCTTTTCCACTTTCTAACCCTCATTATAGAACATTGAATCTTTCAGAGGTTTAGTTGGAATTGGAGAAATCTGAAAATAAGTTGGCCGATCATCGAGTGAATACAAAGTACTGGTGAAAAAAAACTATTTCGGTGACCGCTACCCGCAAAGTAATAGAAACGGAATAATGACTAAGCCTCACTATAATAAGAGCACGACGCTTCTTGACGATTATTCCGTTTCACTTGTTAAATTATTTTTTTTTAACATATTGGCAAACTAATAAAATATATGTTATACTAATATAAAATATATAATTAGCCATTAAAAACAAAAAATTTATATCGCCAATTGAAATTGAATGCTTCAAACTTATATTCTCCTAATTAAGCGTAAAATTGAACTTAATTATACAAGTACCTGGTGACTGGCATTACGCGTTATTTACTGCTCATTATATTTGATTATTCTTATGGTTATGATTATTATTATATTGGCTCGAATTCAAATATGTGGCGACGTCACCTCTATAAAATTTTTGCTTACCGAGTATTCGATATTTGATATTGAATAGATAATTTTAATAAATACTATTCTTGGTAATATTATATCTCAAGATTATTTAAAATTTTCTTTTAACTAATCAGAAAATAGCAACGACCAATAAATAGTTATTTTTATTAGATATACCTATTCGATCGTACATAATTCGATGGAACGTTTAGTAATAATTTCAAAAAGGTTAACGTATATGACAGTTGCGGTAATAATTAATCATCCGTGGTGTCGTACGTGGTAGGAAATCGTAGATAAAATTATTAAAATTAAAATAGGGTTTCCTAATTCCGATAAAAACAAATATTTATTTATATAAAAATACTAACGCAGAAATTACCAAAAAAACTGTATTCAAATATTAATAACGGAAATTTTAGCAAAAATAAATATGACTGCTTTGGATTTTCGGTAGTATAAAATTAATATCGTGAGGGCTAAACGTTTGAAATAAAACTGAATATATTACATCTCAATGTAGAAATATTCTTTTCAGCTGTACACTCCGCATCTCAGTGTATCTTGTTCTCCTTAACTGAAACAGTAACAGAATTATTCAAAAATACTTTTTATTTAAATGTTTATAAATAATTAAACATCATACAAAATAGGTATGCTATTTTATGCTATGCTATGCTGTTTTTTAATATTGCTATTCTATTAAGTACATTTATGCAATTACATTAAGATCAAAAAAGTTTTACTCTAATATTATTGATGGAATATAATTATTATTTTATTGTTTGTGCACCTATTATGGTATACTTAATATCCTGGGTATTTTGTTCTTCTATTCCTTTACTGCGGAGAACTCTAACTAATTTATTAGACAGAGTGGTTTTAGTCTTTTACAAAAAAAATTTCCGAGTACAAAATCATAAAACAATTCTAAAGCAGGTCATAATTATTGTCTTATATTTGTATTTTTCATTCAAAAGTGAGTCCTATACCGATTTTAAATAGTAAAAATAACTGAATAAATAATTACACGAGCGGTTTTAGTATTTTTTCGTTTGCTTATTTATATCGAGCAAATCTTAAGGATGATGATGTGATTTTAATAGTTTATCATAGCAAGCACTTTCGAGTGTATTTAAATACTTTTAGCTGACAGTTTGTTTTTGGCATAAGGATTTACTCAAGTTGCACTCTAGATTTAGCCATCGATTCCGGAGATAACATTATACTTGCATTGTAAATTAATTCCATTACAATGTTTAAAACAGTTTACTTCTTGGCCTTCGGACGTTGATGCGGGTGAGAGGTCAATCGTGTAGCACACTGGTCGTGAAACACCTGCTGTCGTCGCGTCGGTGGCTGCCACTAAACAGATGTGGTTCCAGATTTGCTCTCCACAATTCCGTATGTAATAGGCTAACCTTTTTTCATTCAAACACACCGATGCAATTGGTTTTTTGCTTTTGTTTTGTTAGGTCTATAAAAATAAGATTAATAATTGGAACAAAAATAAAATATTGTGATGATAGGCATTCATTCATCGTAGTGTAAACAGGGCTTACCATGTTATTATTATCAGTCATCGCATGCAATAGAAATACACGTCATGTATGATGTTACAAATGGGTTACGCTATTATTTAAAAAAAATATTAAACCCGAGGTCTAACTTAAAAAAACCTCTGCCGTGTAGTATAAACCTTACCTAAAGAGGAAACTTTATTATTCACAAAAAATACAATTATACCTATGATTTTTTTTTTACACGTAGAAAGATCTTAACATGTTTTTAACAGCACTCTATTAAACTCTTTTTCATAATTAATCTTTTTTTTTATTAAACTATCAGAAGTAGTTTTTGTAATAAATTGATATTCTGTCGATAAAATATGTGCGCTTGTGGCTATAATATATCAATTAGCTCATGTAAACATTATGAAATTAACATTTTACGGCGATTATGTAGAAGATTAGAGGTTTATTTATTAAAAATGAAATACAATTTTTTCGTAGTTTTTTTTTAATTGGTTGTAACACGAAATATGCTAATACCTATAGACTAAAGTTTAGGTAGGTGTTACAGCTCAATTATTTTGGTCTATCTATATTTTTTGCGTTTTTTAACTGCAAGGAATTAGGATATTGTTACGAAAAAAACTAAATCAAAAGGGTGATATTGAAGACGTTAAAGCAAAACATTTTAATCTCTTAGAATTATAAAAATCAATTTTCTATTGAATCAAAATAAAATCAATGACTAAAATGAAAAAAATATATATTTAATTGACATGAATCTAAATATTTTTTGTAAAAAAAACTGCTTAAAACTCTGATAATAAGAAAATATTATCCTTTCATATCGCCTAATAATTATTAAATGTTTTTACTTGTTTATTTTGTATTCTTTTGTTGTAATATTTACTCATTTCTTACTCTGATTTGACAAAATACCTTTAAAATGAAACGTTTCTAATGTATCCTTTGTTTATAAATGTTTATGTAATTTCAATACTTTATCGTAAGATTTTTCTCGTTTTTATATAATCATTTTATAAAAGAAAAGTTAATCTTTGTAATTAAATTAAACCTCTCTATAGAGAGCCGTTCTTATTAAAACATTCATTGATTAATTCTATTAAAATTAAAAAAATTATGTTAAACAGTAAATACTGTGAATTTTGTTGAAGAAAAAATGTTGTAGTATAACGTTTAGTCAGAAAATTAAGCCGGTCAATATAAAATATCAAAACAACTGTACTACCGTTGAGCATAAATATTATTGCAGCTATTGTCTAGTGCGATTGGAATAGATTTTTTTTTACTTATCTTTAAAAAGATTTATTACCTGCGAGTTTATGCAACGGTGTTTTAGGAAAACACTAAAGAATTGATCGTCGTGTATCACTTAAGACCAACAACTATGTAGAGTAGTAGCGTATAAAGCAAACTAGTTTTGTCACGGTTTAAATTATATACATATATTACATTAATGAATCATTTTATTCGGCTGTCGAACCAATACTTTTTAGTAACACCTCTTTTTACTACACAGTATATTTTTATATCTCACAAACAGATCTAATGAATATACAATCCGAGGAATAACCATTGAATTCCGTCTGTCGATTTTAATATTATAAGACGTATGTACAACAAAAATACGTTTAATACCTCCACATTTTTCATATTCTAATGTGCAGTGGTTTTGAAAACTATTATCGTTCCAATTGTGAACAACTACACATTTTTTTGTCTGATCAGTAAGCTTTTTGAATAATTCATGATAATAATAATTAAAATAAAAAATTACTATTGTATTCCACTTACTATACACGTCAATTTCTTAATTAATTCTTAACAGAAACTCTAATCGCTTAAAACGTAAACAAAAGTAACTATTAGCAGTTAGGATATAATTGTAGAATTTAAGTTTACTGGGAAAGGCCGAGGAAAAATCAAGCGTTCTTGTATTTTAATAATAACTGTAGGTGAAAATGTACCTCGAGAGACTCATTGTGGTTGTTAAATGTCTTGGGGTCAAATAATACATAAAGCGAACTGTACCGAAGTCGTTGATGCCGCACGATAATTATTGCAACACCATCTTCTCACTGCTACTTATAATTTTCTTTCGACTTGATTCGCAAACGTTAAGAGGCAACTTTATTAGAATCGACCATAAGACAACCAGCGATGTGTATGTAGTGTTTTTAGTCATATTTGAATGAAGTAGCACGCCTAAACCAACATAAATCGGTAAAAATTAAATTACAATAAGTAAAAATAAAGAATTTTAATATTAAAGGTGATTATTTTAACGATAGCCACTTATTTTTTCTTAAAAATAATAATTTTTGCGAATACATTTTTTTAGTTACATATGTATTTCCATTTATCAGTAATAAAATATTTTTATATTTATTCATTATATCTTATAGCGGTGTCAACTCTACTTTTTTAGATAAAAACATAAATATTTAACTAGCTTATAAAATAGAGAATGATCTAATTTAAAAAAATGATTTATCGATAACAATTTTTAGACCAATATTTCAGAAGTTATAAAATATTTAAAATAGTTATTAATGGTGAGAAGAGAATGTTGCTATTTTTATCACTAGAAATGTCTTGACCTCACTCCTCCCACATAAGTATAAAAATGTTAACAACTTCTGAATTACTGTTCTGAAAATTGTCATTTTCATCATATATATGTATAATTAATAGAATTGATGGGCCTGTTGCAACAATCAGATAAGTCTAGCACTTTTCAGAAAATAACATTTTGTTCATTTTGAATTTTTGTGCAATTCAGGACAAAAACAATAAATATATTCCTATTATTTGTGGAGATAATAAATTCAGAAAAAAATATTTTCCAATTGCTTCTCCTTTTTTAAAATTAAAAAAATAGATTTAACTGGTTATTCCATCAAGCCATTTAATTATAAATATATTCGATACTCGAAAGCCAAATAAAACTCTCAGCGCAACTATAACACTATTAATGTATATTCAGTTATTTTTATCAAAATTAAACCGACAAAAATTTAAAAAATTGATAAAATAGTTAAATTCATAGAACAATAACTAAATATCTCCCGTGTGGTATATGTGTCGGATGATTCTTTAAATCCATTATTATTTTAATTAAAATAAAGATCATTAATTCCGTTTGGATCCTATTGCAATCCTTTTCCTTGGTTAATTGGTATTGTTAAGAAATATCATTAAAAGGATTTAGTGGTTATCTCAAGTTGTATAGTCGTTATTTAAATGAACGATTTAACATTCAAAAACGAATAAATTCGTTCGAGCAACAATTTAAGTCTTAATATAAACCTTAGTTCTCAACACTATACGATAGTTATTTATTATCCATTCGAAAACTAATTGTCACATATAATGCTGTTTTAAACTAGAAATAGTATTAAACAAACATCTGGTGGTTAATATATTTCTTTAAAGCTTGAAAACGCTTTAAAAATTTTATCTCAAACAATTTAGTATACTAATATAAGTTTTTCAATAATTTATTAATAAATTTTGTACATTTTAAAATACTTCAATATTAATTGAAACCTTTTTTACTAGCTTTAACTCAAGAAAGGTAATCAGATTAATTACAAGAGCGTAAAAATTTTAATTATTAAAATTAATTCTAGATAGTTCTTTGATACACAATCAGCAGGATACGCATAGTTTTATTCTCAAGAAAGTTTTTTTTTAGTAATGATTTTTATCACAGTAAAATTTCATTGCTACATTAATAATATTTATTTTAGCAATCATTGTGTCAAATAATGATGTATTATTTTATACACACTTTGAATTACCAAAATTAGTATTGTCGAGTAATTCAAAACAAATTATATTATTCAATTAAATTTATTAAAAAATTATTCAGTAAAATTTCAAACACATTAAATGCATAAAATTGAAATTTAGTTCAAACCACATTCGGAAAAGTTTCTTAATATTATTAACTTAAAATGAGAAAACGAATTGGGCCTTCAATACTCCAAGGAATAGATACATTTCACTAAATTTAAGCGTCCCCTTTAATGTTTATTCGAAAAGTTAGTAATCATATCAATAAATAGAACGTATAAGGGAAATAATCCTTTTTGCTTTTTTACCACTTAAAATCCTGATAGTATTATATTACAATAATTGATTAGAATGGCACTCTTAGAAATTTACTTGTATGGTGACCACAGTGATTGCTTTGACTTTAATCGGATCAATTAAGTTTTAAACTTCATTTTGTTCAATATTTTTAAATTTTACAGATGAATCATCGAGAAATCATTCTCATAATTAATTATATCAGTCAATGATATAGATTTATTATAACTTCAACCATCGAAATCACATGCTCAAATGTAACGTGGATTTCACGTGTTTATATGAATACACGAGCAAGCCAAGGGCACACCATAGGGACGTGACGTGGTCGTGTGTCGAGCCTTTTACAGTCTATTTTTGGAAATAGTTGTCAAGGAATTCTTTACAACATCCGAAGCTAAAAACAAGACGATCGACAAATATCTTAGCCACGTCGATGATATTTGTCTGTGGTTCACTGTGCAAGTACTTACCCTTGTGACATTTTTAAAAATAAAGTATCTCCACCGTTCTAATTGTACACGTGACTATGTCTGTGAATACTACAGTTGTAATTATTGCGCTCCAATAACTAATTCTTTAACGTTTCCGCAAAGGCGATATTGTTTCTACTTTACTCGACAAGTTCTTTACAAAAACATGCTGTAAACACATTGATTTTCAAATAAATGATTTAATAATGTTTCCTTAATTATCTTCGAAATCAAGTGGGCGTTTAAAATTGTACACCAATTGCATATATAAGGTATCAAAGATAAAATAATCAACCAAAAATAACAGTAAAAACTCAGAAGTGTAAATTATTATACTTAAATTATTTATACAAAAAGAGGAAATCAAATATAACTCGGAGAAAATTTTCTTTGTCGCAGTTATAGAATAGCTTAAAGTTTAAAAAATTACGTGAAGTCGGGTCCAGCGTAGCAGAGTTCAGACATTTTTTAAAATTAGTATTGATTTATATCTGAAAATGATTAAAATCACTGTCATAAAACACTTTAATGTGTATTTTAAACAATTTGAAAAAAAATTATCTTGTTAGAATAAAAATTAAATAATTGTTGACTTTCAGTCAACAATTATGTTACCGAAACAATTTTCTTTATTTAATCATATTTAAACAAATTTCAATCTGAAATAATTAAGAATGATATGACTATTCCGTTAATATACAAAAAAGTACATCAGCCATTTTTACTGAAAATTGTGTGACTCTTGATTTCGTGTGAGCAAAATCGGTTCAAGTGTATACTGACAAAACACAGCAAAGTGAAACCAAAAGATTCTCAAATATACATCGAAGCTATAACAAAACAATAAAATGTTCACTAAATTTGTCATTAGTCTATATATGAAACTCATTTATTTAAAAAAAAATTGTATATTTACTTGTATTATGAAGATTATATATTTCTCCGTTAAACAAATATTTTTAATTTAATCAAAAATAAAGCGGTTATTATTATTAATTTTAAAATTAGAGTTCATTATTGCAATTGTATAAAAATTTATTCTCAGTTTATAAAGCTGAGTTATTCTTAATTTGTATTAGACTTATTTAAAATAGTTATTTTATTCCTATTAAATTATCTGAATACAATTTAAAATTTGTGTATAAGTTATTAGATTAAATATTCAAGACATACAATACTCATTTTGCATTGTTTTTCTATATTTACAACCCTTTTTTTCTTCCAATTGTTTAATTTTGTTTCTTTCTATCGAATAAAGTCTATTAAAACCATAAAAATTAATAAAACATGAAAAAATATTCGTTTATACTAAAAATATTTCTTCATAGAAACCCCCATATTGAATTGAATGTATTTAATTAAGTGAAAAACTTAAGAATTATACAATGTATAAAATGAACGGAAAACAGACGAAGAGGTAACAAAAGAACATTAGTAAATATATTTAACTGTTACGCGCGTAGGATGTGAATTTTGTGTGCGCAAATAAATGTAATATGCCCAAAGCATCTTTTTCGAACACGAATTTTCTGCATAATCAACTCGACTTAATTTACTATTATTATTTATACTTTAATTAGAAGAACAAATAGTTTTATTGCAATAAGAAAATTTCTTTTAAAAATTTCAGTATTTCGTGTATTTTTACTTTCCTAAAATTTAACAAAACACCCAACATAATAACTATATACAAATTCCTGCTCATTAGTTTAATAATCAATCTGAATTAATTGTTTTGTCACAGTTTCATAAGTAAATACTTAAATATTTTTTCACACTAAGCTGTCAATTATAACTTGGACATTACATTTTTATTTTGTTTAATGCGGAAAAAATCTACGTGTCGTTCCATTTGAAAAAAGTTACCGGATTAAAAAAAAATAATGTTTTTCTTTAATGACCACAATTTAAATTTCATCATAAAAACTAATAAAGTAAGGTATTTGATCATTTTGATAATGCGCCACGTGAAAGAACATGAGACAGTCTGAAATTTTGCGTATTCTATACCTAATTGACATAACTAACCCAACACTCAAAACTGCTTTGTACCCTTATTTGGACAAATAATACATAGGTATGTATAGTATGGTTCCCAGACCATTCGTAGCGCCTAAATTAAATTATTTTATCGTATATATTTAATTAAATCAATCCGTAAATTTGTATGAAAATCGTACAGGGTGATTGTTTTATTTAATGCAGTATAAATTCTATGAAATATTCATTTTGTAATCTTCTATTATTGCAACCGATTCCTAAAACTTAACGCACTACAACTTATGTCTAAACATTACGTCATTCTTATAAATTAGTTGTTTCGACAATTTCGTTTTTAATTCCATTGATTAAGCTCCGTTGTTAGTCATCTCGCCGTTGGTGAAATAATTAATAAAAAAACACTCGTAATAGTCAAAAAAGTCAAATTCAATTGATAATGATAATGCATGAATAATAGCTACAGTGATCGCTATGCCTATTCATTTTAAATTAGTATTTTATATAATCTATAGTTAAATTCTATACCCACCGCCAAGTATCTCATTCGTATAAAATTAATTCAATAACGCGGTACTCGTAAAATATATGACCACATAGAACTTCACTCACTACCAGTACACAAGTATTCCGGTTATA